CACGAAAAATTTTTACTATTCGATTTTCATATAGGACTATATATAGTCTTGATCTACATAGTACACTGGATACCCCACCGTTACATCGTAAATTACATATTAGGCAGCAAAAAATTCGGTTAATTATATAGTAATTGTAGTCGATTTGACATTAGCCAATAATCGACTAAATCGATTTTTTAAAGATTTCAATCGATTTTTGGGCCTTGTATATGGGTGGCAAACAGAGAAAACCTGTAGACCGATTTATTATTTTACACTTATTGGACTCAATCTCCGAAGATTCTGATTACGCAATGATTATATCTGATTGTCATTATAACTTTGATAACGCATTGAAAATAAGTCTTAACGATAGATTGTATGTTTTTAAAAGAACTAATCATGAAGGTTTATTATCCGGATTTAAAAGTAGAAGTACCGGAACAGTTTCTGCTTTCGATTACAGCTATTCTCATAAATTCTGGAAAATTTGGCAACAGTTGACCGACCGAATATTTGCCGATTCGATAAGCTTTGATAAACTTTTGATTCGCATTATATCCGAATCAAAAGTTTATCACTGCTAAATCAAAGTTTATCGAATCGGCAAATATTCGGTCGGTCAACTTTTACCAAATTTTCCAGAATTTATGAGAACCGCTGTAAAATGTCACCCACCCGGGTGACCCGTCGGTGAATTCTAAACACCTAGTAAAAATGATTTATGACAGATTCGATTAAGTTTTGATTTCAGCACGATTGGTATATATTTTTAGACGTAAAACTTCGAGATTAGAACCATACAGCTAAATCGGAATGTCCAGTTAATAGCTATCGGACAATATGAATCAAGACAAATCAGAGTTTTTCCTATAGAGCAACCAGGACAATATCGGCACGTAGATTATAGATGCAAAAATATAATCAGTGATGTAATCTTTTTTGTGTTTCAATAGTTAAAAATTAGAAATATTAAATCACATGATTTTGAGAATATGAATGTCCGTGAGTCTTGTGATGATTCGTTATATCGAAATATGTACTGTGCAATAACAATATTGATTAATATCAATGAAATGCACATAAATGATTTTTTGCTAATTATTAGGTGTTAATATTATATGACTATATTAAGAAATTTAATTAATATAGGTATGTTTATTTTTCCCAATTTCTTATATCACATAAAAATACATTTTAAATTGCACGGATCTGAACATTCTAGATGCGATATATAAAAATTTACTATTTAAGTTCGATATAACTAACTTACAAACTAATAAATACACGCAAAAAAGAATTTGCCATATTTAAAAATAGATAAATAAAATGTAAGGTGGATATGGGTATTATGTCGCAGGACCAATTATGGCGCACATGTGATATCTCGTGACCCAGTGATCAGAATCGGATGATTTTACCACCATTAGATTTTTCTCGTTGGTCGAATCGAATGGTGATAAAATCATCCGTTAGATCGCGATATACCATTGTTTAAATAAAATAACCAATTTTTTTTATTGAATATAACTAATTTTAACCGGTGGTTAAATCACCACCTTTATTATATAAATTTTTATAAATTAAAGCTAAATTTAATTTAAAGATTAGGTTTAGGTTAGAAGGCATAGATATATGCAAAATTGTAAGCTGAAAACTTTTTTGGTTTTTTCTTAATTTTTACTATCGCTTTTGTTACACAAGATCCTGTAATTTGATTGGTTAATTATATATGCGAGTTACGTAACCAGGGGGGCAAGTTAGCAACACTCTTTTTTATTTATAAAGTTTAATAAGAAACAATCGTAACATGTTATAACAAGAGTTTTTATTAAGTAAATCGATCTTCGTATTTAAGGCAATTTTGTTCGTCATAATGAACTCTATCTACTATTAAATTTTTATAAAAATCGAATAATTTTTTATTAATTGACATTTGTAAAAATCTTTTTTGCGCCATAATACATTCTTTTAATACAGAAGTGTATTTTATAAAAATCAATTAATAAAAAAATTATCCAATTTTCATAACAAAATTGTCTTAATAATAAAAATCGATTTACTTAATAAATTATTTGCTGATAACATTTTAAAGTTATTTTTTTTAGTATTGTAAAATTTAATATATAATTATTTATATCTTGTGATCTAATAATCAGAATCAAACGATTTTAGCACCATTCGATTCGTCTCATCGAGACGAATCGAATGATACCAAAATCATTCCATTCTGATCAATAGATCACGAAATATAGTGTGTGCGCCATAATTGGTAGCTGCGTCATAACGATAATTTATCCTTTTTTATTTTTATTTTTAATTAACAATATCTCGTGATCTTGTGATCAGAATCGGACGATTTTGGTACTATTCGATTCGTCTTGACGAGACGAATCGAATGGTACCAAAATCGATTTATGATCTAAAATATTTACCTGCGCCATAATACCCATATTCACCTTACGTAGTAAATTGATATTTATTACTAATAAACCCAAACTCAATTGGTCAAAAAATTAGTGAAACTATATTTATTATCGTTATATTTTGAAAAATGCAAAATTGTAACTCCTGTTATATGTAACAAGCCAATCAGATTTCGATTTATGGTTTGGGTCACACGAGTTTTTAATTATTTTTATTGGCTGTATTAAGTTAGGTGTTACAAATAAGGTGTGTAACAGGGTGCTACAATTAGATTCGTCCTTGAAAAATAATTAGATTAATTCAATTTTATATTTAATTATCACGATCTTTATTAGAGATGCGACATGACCTTTAACCATATAATTAATGAAACGATAATACGCATATATTCATACATATTATCTACCTATTACTTAAACCAAAGTTACTAATGCTTTAACTCTATAATGTTCAGATTACGTAAAATATGTCATTAGTACAAGCTTATTATTATTATAATAGCGTGTCAAGTAGTATACATAAAATTAAGTTAAATCTTACATGTAACGTCTCAATCATTTAGAACCTACATATAGTTAATACAGTATAACTAGTATTAGCAATAAATAGTAAAAACATCCGCTTCTAAGTGACGCTCTTGGAGTTAATGATTATTTTTGATTATTTTTGCACAGTGAATATAGACGTTTTTCGAAGCAAGAAATGGTTTTTACGACGATTTTTTGTTAGTGAAACGTTACGTTCCTTTTAAACTATATAAATTATCCGGGAAATTGATTTACATCAACCAATCATACGAATGTCTCTATGAATCCATGGGTCAACCCGCGGGTCGACCCGCGGGTTGACCCGTGGGGTTGGCCACCTGAGTTGTTACAACTCAACCCGGGTGACCCACCCACCCACGGGTGACCCGGGTGAGACCCACCACTAGTTCTATGAAATTAAATTTTTATAATAGTCCAGAGAGTAGCGACGGACACAATTTTTACACATTATGTAATAAAAAGGTTGCGCTTTTGATGCATTTTGACTATGGTTATTGATTAGTAAATACGGTGATACAGACTAATGGTAAGACATTCGTATAATTGGCTGATTTAAATCAATTGCCCGGGGAACTTATTTATACACTTTAGAGTAATTACAGCTGTTCTCATAAATTCTGGGAAGACAAATAAAATTATTTCGGCCGAATTCGATAAGCTTTTGAATTCGGTATTATCGATATTAGGTTTTCGGCATTACAGTAATTCCGATAACACAGAATTCAAAACTTACCGAATTCGGCCGGCTAATTTTTATCGTTGTCCCAGAATTTATGAGAACAGCTGTAATTTATAATTTATTTTACGCTCCGGACTTACATCGGTTCCCCATTCTTAGTTTAATTTAATATTAGTTTATATTTAATAGTTTAAACTTAGTATAGAGCATAGTATATAGTAAAATTTTGTAAAAAAATTTTCTTGTTAATAAATTTTGAATATTAATTGTTTTTTTTTTTAAAAAAAAAACAAAATATAATATTGTATCTAATCTTTATATTATATTGCAAATATACAATTTAATTGATAAATCGTTAGGATGCGATATATAATCATATTGCATAAGTGTGATACCTAATTAAGTTCTAAATAAAATATAACCAAAATCTGCAAATGCTTATATTAAACATATTATATATTATATTTAATATATTGATACTTGTAATATTATTTGTAATGTTTTAAGCATTTTTAAAACAGATACTTTGTATCTTAGTATCTAATAGTTTAGAATTGGTTTTTTATACTTATAATACAAAATGTTTAACATATGCCAAATAAATTGTATCTGTGTTTTAAAAGTATATACTTAATAACTTTATATCAGATATCTTGCATTTATGCCCATGCTTACGTCTGTGCCTTCTGTCAGGCACGGGCATATGCAAGACCTAATTACAACTAAACTAGATAATACGTATTAGATTATAGTTAAATTTGTTTTTTAACAAAAATAAAAAATAAAATTTGGGTTATAATTTTATTAATTATTAATAGATCCATAATACCGTTGACTACTGTTTATAATATCTTCCAAAAATAATGCCCATTGTGATTAAAACCAGATATTAATTACCACCTCTGCCGGCTTGTTTCTTGAATAAAACCCGGGGTACAACTATACTAGTTTACTACATTTAATACTGTATGATATTTCTCTACAAATATAGTATCTGGTTCTTCATACAGCACCCACAGATACTAATTAATTTTAAAAATAAAGATCTTGAATAAGACCCTGGATACTGAGACAATGGCAAATATTACTACAGTTTGTAATAATTAACAAAATCATAATAAATATATTATTTTTATTCCATTTTATATATATTTATTCTATATATATATGATTAATTAATTTCTTGTATAGTTTATTTATAAGCTTTGTTATATGGTTTTTTTTAGGAAATAATATATAAAATTAAAAAATTGTTACCAACGCAGCCTTACCAACACCAGAATACGGCAGAATTAGGGAATTAGATCACATGTTTGCTGTGTTGGTAACAATTCCCTAAAATTAGCCAATCAAGAGAATTATTGCTTATGACAGTAAATCCGAATTTATTTTAAATCCGGATTTAAATATATTGAGATTTGTATTCAATCCGGATATATCGATACGTTGTTCAAAAAATGAATCCGGATTTATTCAAAATCAGGAAATAAATAGAAATATAAATATCAAATTCTTATAAACTTTAAATTGATGTAACTTAAAAATTATATAAAACAAAAAAATATACGTATTTTTTTTTCAGCCAAATTGTAGATCACAAATCTGCAAATTGGCTAAAAAAAGTTTTTAATTTTTTTTTAAGTTATTGCGTTTTTTGTAAAGTATATATAAAGAGGTGCTGATTTATGCTGTCCCGCAATGTATGTTTTTTAAAATTGTATTTATTTAAAGAAAATCTATAGATAACGTAATGAATATATAGTAAATTCATAGTAAGCTGCGCCGGGATTTACTATAAGAATTAATTAGGAAACAATAAAAGAGATGGATTATTTATGTAGTGGCTACTATGTAAAAGATTTATATGTCCTGCACTTAACATTCTTAATATAGATTTGCAATTTATTGTCTGGAACGTATTAAAATAATTATAAAGTTATATACTGTACACGTCGCTATGGCATACCGACATTTTTTATATATTTGAACATATAAGCTTATATATATCTTTATAGCTTTATAGTTCTTGTATATATTTAATATGAAAATGCCTCTGGTTAAACCAACATCTGGACATATCGGGCAATTTGTTTTTGGAGAGTGTCAATATAACCAGAATGACGAGCACAAAGGTATGTTTTTAATTCGTCTCGTAGTTAATCATATTTTAGCACCAAAAATGTAATTTTTAAAGTTTATGTTTCTATGGTTTTAAGTGTAAAAAAAAAAAAGAACTCGTTTTCGTTATACAGTACAATAATCATTATGATATAGGCTTTGGACACGTAGTACTACACGTTAACCTAGTCTTATAATGTCACAACATATTTATTGATTTTCTTTGCATTCATTCATCTTCGTTAAATGAACAACAAAAAAGCCCATCCACTGAAATCATTACCGATTTGAAACAGAAAAGCACATGTACGCGCGTATATAGTTCTGAGATCTTTCAGAACTTTCTTTCTGAACAAATAGGTCAATAAGGTTGTTAACCACGAAAACCGATTCGGACGAAGTAAAGAGCTTCCGGGACAGTCCATGGCGTATATCGATCGATATACGGTATTACGATATTACCTGAAATTATGATTGTTATTTTATTTATTATTTATTTATTTTATTGTTAACTTCATTGTGAAACCTGAACCTAGAATTTTTATGCAGTACATTAAGAATCTAATTCATTTTACGTAATATTTTCTTCAGCCAAAATTAGCGGTTTGGTAAACTATAAAGCAATCAGTGAAGAATCTGGCAAGCTTGATCTATTAAATAACACAAAGTAGGAAATAAATAAATCGCCCAGTTACTGGTATAGATCTTTCATACTGTTTCAGTTTTGAATGATCAAGATAATCATAAAGTCTTATCTCCCGTAAGGTGGAGCATGACAGAGCATGACAGCGCATTCAATGAACAAGCCAATTTTAGTAATTTTAATATGTTTCTTTTCTTGCAGCTCATACAACCTAGCCACATGATAATTGAAAAAAAAACTTTTGGCTGAAATTATAAAGTTTATACCAATGAAAATAATTGAACACGCCACCTTTCCATAATAGGAATATCAACAATAACGATAATGATATTTTCAAGCTTCATTATCACAAAAAAAAAAAAAAAAAATGTCTGAAAAAATTCTTGAAAGGAATCTTGAGGAAAAGCTTAAGCAATTAGAAGCCTTTAGCAGCTGCGACGTGTGTAATATGAATAGATAATATAGAATTGGTTAAAGCGTATCTAAAAATAAAACGGGTACATTTTCAGGTCGCCGATGCGCTTCTCAAGATAAACAATCCTTATGGAGGTTTTTTGCCCGACATTGTTATGTTTTCTCCAGAGTATCTGGATAGAAATTCAAAATTAATCGGTCCAGTTTTTACTGTAAAAGTGAATATATATATTTTTTTATTTGTAATTCTATCTAGATTTTATTGACATAATAAATTCTAAAGTTGTTTGTTTAAATAGTTTGTTCCCGTATCCGATGTTATTTCTCCAAAGCCAAGCCAACATTTTGTAAGCATATATATTCTTATTTTATTTTTATAATATTTAAGTACTGACTATTTTTGATAGGCCGATGCCGTTCCGGCAAATAGTGTTGTCTTTGTGTCTGCGCCACCAAGTTTGTGGTTTTTCTTTAGATGTAAATTGCATATGATTTATTTTCTTGTTTGTAAAACATGAATTATAAATTTTAATTAGACACTGTGAATGCTGTATGGGGAGGGTTGATGAATACGAGAGCTAAAATACGTGGAGCCAAAGGAGTTGTTGTGGATGGTCGTGTTCGAGATCTTGAAGAACTCCGAGATGATAAACTACCGGTAAGTGCTTACATTCGAATGATTTGAGATTTGATATCACATTGTTTTATGTCAAATTTGATAAGTTAATAATTGGATATGATCTATTGAATTAAAGGTCTTTGCAAAAGCTGTTTCGGTCTTATCGGCCAAAGCATTTACTCGTCCAACATCTTTTAATGAATCGGTTATTTTAAATGGGAACTATGATCCACAAATTAGAATCAATCCTGGTGACATAATAATTGCAGATTTGAATGGAGTGGTGTGTATCCCTCAACAAGACTTGGACCGCGTATTAGAATTATGTGAAAAATATGTTGCAATGGATCAGAAAGTCAAGGAAGAATTACTAAAGGGAACAACCATAGAAAAATCATTTGCATTGCATCGTAAATGAGTGTTTAACCTAATAAAAAATTTGCCACTTAATATATTATTTTAAGCATTTGTCTATTAAAATTACATCTATCATGCAAATGAAAAAATTGAACTACAGTTTTCCAAGTCATCGCAACTAAAATCTAATTAGAAACAAAAAAAATGTATTTATTAGTAAGAGCTTGATAGTTTTAATTTTAATAAAATTAAAATATCCCAAAATACAAGGCTAGTATTGTAAATGCATAAATAAGTAATATTAATGCTAATGTTGACAGTATTTTCTTTTCTGTGTGAATTTGAATACGCGCCTACGCGTTGAGTTAATTCGAATACGTGCATACGCGTTATTTGGAACCAATTCAAATACGAATGTATATACAGTTTTCATGAGTTTAAATGAAAAAAGCGCGCGTTACTTCGCGACAATATGGTGCAAGTTTATTAAAATCATACCAGCGATATGTTGAAATACAGTACTGTATAGGTCTGTAGGTGGAGACAATAATGTCCCACTTAGGATTTATAATTCCAACCCGATTAATAATAATTTTTGAGTTTATTTGAGTGAAAACCTGTAAGTTGATTCACTGACTTTCACTTTATCATGATTCTATGCGATTATTCTAGAACTCTTTTTTTTTAAGAACCTCCCGAACATATAATTTTTTTGTAAAAAAAAATCTTTTTCCGTTGATAACAAATTACGTCGAAGTGACTAGAACGATCAACTTGGGTTGAGTGATTCATTTACAGGTTTCTCTTTCCGTCATTCATTTTTTTTACAAGTTACTAATTAAAATTGCTAATTGTAAAGTAGATGGATGTTTTGACGAACTGAAGTCTTGTACTTTATACCATTCAATTCCTCTCACTAAGATTAACCGAATGATTTAAGAATCGGTTTAATATGACCACTGGACCATGAGATATCATCAGGATACCAATCTTTGTCATCGTGCTCTTCTTACTATACTATTCAGACAAAGACATCTCGCGATCCAGTGATTAAAGTCGATTTCTCTCCGTGTGAGGAGTCAAATGGAGCAAAATAGTTTGAATCCAATCACTGGATCTTGGAATAATCTCGTTTCGTCAATACCTCTAAAAATTCAAATTTCTTGTATAGTCTAAAATTCCAGATCATTATTTCAAAACGGTTTGTTGTGCTCATTTCATGCGTTTCAGTTTTACGGCTACAATTAAAATTAAGATATACATGTCCGAATAGATGTATTAATAATTGTTGCAATTGGGTTAATGCTAAGAATTTGATTTATTTTAATCAGAAATTAAAAAATTTCGAGTTTTTTTTAAAAAAAAATTTTTCTCTTAGGTTAAGAATTAGGGTTTAAGTTAATAAAAGAGTGCATGTGGATTTTAGTAGTTTAGTATATTTAAAAATAGACACAGAATCTCAGAATTAGTCAACCTCAGCGTCAGTCGCGACGATAAATTTTTATTATATCGATATTATGATAAGATTTTAAAGAATCAATATTTTATATTACTGAGATGACCAATATCAATACGGTTAAGTCCGTTGAAATCTAATTGAAAGCCGGGTTACTGGATCATTTTGTGAGAACCAAAAAATTCACTTTATATGACCTAATCGAGACTTGCTTAACTTTTTGGTTTTGGTATGAGACCCATAATACGAACGCCGGAGTCTAAATATAGATTACTATATTTATACATATGTTGTGCTTCGTGTGTCAATTTGCCCCAGGTGACAACTAAGGCACTTCAGACAGTGATTGTTTGGCCGGCATTAACTGATTGGCCTACATTCTTACCCTAATTCTTACCCTAATTCTAACCCTGATTTAGGCCAGTTGATATCTGAGGCAAGAGTACACCTGAGCCATAATATATATATATATTATTTGCACAATCAACTTCTGATGGTGTTTGTACGTTTATACATTTATTCAAGACTGGAAGTGTAATTGATTTTATTGCTTTCATTATCTAATAGTCAATCCGAAAAACATATGATTGGCATCACATGACATTAATGATTCATTATAAAAAGTTTGATAATCAAATTTCACGATTACGATAAGCGATGCCGAAAAAAGAACCAATTCACGGCTTATTTGCCGTTAACAAACCTAGTGGAAAAGCAATTAAGCAAGTTTTACAACATATAAATCATACATTCCGTTTGCATGCTGAAAGAACTCGACCAGAAATGACGAGAAGACAAGTAGTATCATTAGGTACTTGTTTCACTCAAACAAAATATTGGAGTTCGGGTGTTTGTGTTGTCGGTGTAAATCAGGGTTGTAGATACTTGAAATCTCAAGAAAAAATGAATGAGGTAACTTTGAATAAAATAGAATCGGTAGACAATCTCAAATGAGATGTTTAATACAATAGTTTTTATTAGAGATATCATGCAACAGGACTATTGGGTTTCTCTACTAGCACCAAAGATCTTGTTGGTAATGTAGTTGATACTGCATCAGCATCACATATAACACGTCAACAAATATTAAATGTCCTGCCGACATTTCAAGGAAAAATATATCAAGAAGAATTTAAGTAAATTACTCAGTATTAATTTTAAAATGCTTTTTTGAATCCCAAAAATAAGTATTTAAAATTAGTGAATTAAAAATAAGTAATTATAATTAAAATTAGGATACCAGAAACACAACCAATTGTTAAGCCACCATTTTTTAAAGATTTCGCTTTGTTATCAAAGCGACAACAAAAAAAAATTCTACACCAAAAATACAAAACACCTCCATCCACACCAACATCT